GGAGTCGGAGTCGGAATCGGAGTTGAATAAAACTTTCAACACGGAGTCGGAGTCGGAGTTAAAAAAACATGACTCCGCAGGTCACTAACACCCACACCCTCACAACCCACCCACCCCCCCCCACACCCACACCCACACCCACTCTAGTTGTGCAGCTTTTCATATATTCAATAAATTGTAAGTAGACTTTTCAGTCGAACTATTGTTATTTAAATAGGCCAGGCATCTATAAAAAATACTTTCCTGTTCGGAAACTACTTTCAATTTCCCCAGAACTATATCCATTATGGCCATTATGTCCATTATGGCCATTATGTCCATTATGGCCATTATGTCCATTATGGCCATTATGTCCATTATGTCCATTATGGCCATTATGTCTATTACGGCCATTAGAAATCTCTTATACATGTCCTTGCAGTAAAAGGAGTTTCCCGGAAACTAATACAACGCATCAAATCAGTGATTTGTCGTGATTTCTGTTGATTTCTATCGATTTCTATTGATTTCTCTTGATTTCGTTGGTTTCTGTTGATTTCTATTGATTTCTATTGATTTCTATTGATTTCTGTTGATTTCTCTTGATTTCTCTTGATTTCTCTTGATTTCGTTGATTTCTATTGATTTCTATTGATTTCTCTTCATTTCTATTGATTTCGTTGATTTCTATTGATTTCAAACTGATTTCTACCACCAGAAATCAGTTTGTTCACCCTTGCTGTGGAGATAATGATTCGAGTTATATTTTAAACTTATAGATCTAACGTTCCTCTATTTAGATCATATGTCAAACTCAAAACTTTTAATCGAATGACGGACCGTTTCTATACATTTTGTCGATATTTTGTAGAAATGACTGATTCTAAAATGACTTCGTCTTATAGAATATCGAACAAAAAAGATAGCATCTTGTCTCGTCTTTCGATTGGTGAAATTCGAAGGTCTCTAGCTCGTTCCTGACTTGAGTTAGTTTTAAGAAAAAGCGACGGACATTATATTTTGAAACGGCTAATCGTTTTATGACGTTCCATCGTCTATCGATTGGCACATTCTTTTCAAAAGTGGCACTATCAATGGACAAAAATATCTGTCAACGCTTAAAGACTTTTATTCCAGACGTAACAAGATTACGAAAGATTGACTCCATAATACTTCAAAAAGGGTAGGGCTTCTCCGCATCTCGCCGATGAAATACGCCAATTTCTGCACAACATTTTTATCTAAGAGTTGAATTGGAAGAGGTAGTCCAATTTGATGGAGTCCGAGTTCACCAGATTTCATGCTACTCGATTTTTTTCCATAGGAACACAGGGAAGACATTGCCTACAAGACTTGTATTAACGATCTGGTTGAATTGAAAGTGAGAATCAATAACGAAGTTCAAATGATTTTCAAAGAAGCTCTATGTAATGATTTTTCAAACCTTTTGAAAAGAATGGATACATGTATTTATGTGGAGGGTGAACATTTTAAACAGTGGTGGTAAATAAACTTATGTCAAATAAACTTTACGCAACATAAAATGAAATTATAAAACAAACTGATGTAACTTGCTTCAACTGATCAGAGCTACTCACGTTTTATTTTTTCAGCGAACTATTACAAGAATAACCATTTAGAGTGTGTACCACTTCCTCATATCGAGATCTTATTGACAAATATTGTAAGAAGGAGTGTCTCACATAGCCCGGATGCATTACCGCGCATAGTCACCGAAGCATTGCCACTTGTGTGGGTGCATGCATGACGAACTACACCGTTCTTCCTTTCTTTCATCACATCATATACATCACTTGCTTCCTAAATACCTTCTGTAACAATCAACCGATTCCCCAACATACGCTAAATAGCAATAAATACCAACATAAAATCCAAAAAAAAATCATTCATGATTAAACAAGCCGTCCTTTAAACAAGATAACTAAAGTGAACCGCACATAGTAGCCAAGTGCAACATACACTGTAACAATGCATCAAAAAAGAAAAGTACTTGAAATAAGACACACCATTCTCAAATCGCCTTCATATCACCAAACAACACAATATCAGAGCCATCCAAAAGGAAAATCAGCAAGCTATCAAAAACAAACCCAACACGCGCGCATTCTTAAGGCGCCCCCTCAGAATTGATTTTCCACTTTAGATTGTTAATTCGAGCTGAAATTTTCAGGGATGATAGATCCTGAGGGTGTGGGTGGGTGTGGCTGTGGCTGTGGCTGTGGGTGCGGCTGTGGCTGTGGGTGTGGGTGTGGGTTTGATTAAAGAGATCTCACACCCAACCATACTGACACCCACACCCATACCCACACCCACACCCACACCCACACCCACACCCACACCCACACCCACACACGCACACGCACATCCACACCCACACCCAAAGTCGTATTTTTGATATGGAAGAAAAACACTCGAATTTTCAATAAATTTTTTTTTATTTCATTATTTTTACTTCCTCAGGTATTTCAAAATATATTCATTCGATGCAGTTTTTCATGCTGCATCGAATGAGTATATTTTCAAACATTTTACATAAGGATATTAATGGAAAACAGCTGAATTTGGTGTAAAAAAGATCATTTTTTTTCCTATAAAAAGTGTAAAAAATGAGGGTTTTTCGGTACATTCTTTACACAGTTTCCAGTGAATTTTAACCTAGCAACTCTGTTGGAAAATTTTTCACTATATACAGTTTTGTAGAGCTCGACGAGCTCTATTGAACCATGTAAAAATATCCAACAAAAATATTTCAATCCATTTTTCAATTACTGGCGCTTTACTTTTCCACCGCAAAGAAAGTATAAAATTTCTGAAAGTTTTGTAAGTTCGATATTAAAAAGTTTGCATAATCCTTACTATTTGGTATCAATAAACCCCATTTTTGACGGGCTTTCATTTGATATAAAATTCATTATGTCTTCTATTTGATATTATAGTGGTGCACCCCTGGCAAAAAGTTATTTCCGACCCTGTATGGTGGTAGAATCAAAGGTTTCATGTGATAAGTCTTTGAAAATCTGATCATTTTCAAAAAAGCCATAGATATTCTGAAAGAGGAAGCTTTGCTGCATCTTCTTATGATAAAAACTCAACTTCGATATTTTTTTGAAAAGTTGGATTTTCTAAGAGGGCCCCTTAAGCAAATGTGTAAGCCCACGGCACTTTTCCAGTGAACAAAAAAATTTCGGATGTGTTCATGCACAACAGTAATCCTCGATGAACGCACTTAGAATACGTAATTCTCGCACTACCGACGACACATTTAAAGCACAATTACATGAAAGCTCCTCTTCACCTATACCTCACCCTTACCAAAATTGATTACATCATGTATGAACGTGACAATCGCTTGCTGAAGCAAACGTTCTGAGTGGCTAACATGATCGACCATCACATGACAAACTAACAATTCATATAAACACTCAATACAACTATTTTACAAGCTTCCAATCAAAGCTTTCCAGTTGGTACCAGGATCGACGATCATATGTCAAATGAATAATTCTTACGAAGACACTGCTCAACAATGTTCTTCCCTTCGAATCAAAGCTTTCGAGTTGCTAACATGACCGACGATCATATAACAAATGAATAATTCTCACCTATAAGACTGTGATCAACTATTTTGCTCTTTTCGAATCAAAGCCTAGGAGTTGGTAACATGATCGACGATCACATGACAAACTAATAATGCGTATCAAGAAGACACTGTTCAGCTATTTTGCTTCCTTCCAATAAAAGCTTTAGAATCGATAACATGATCGACGATCATATGACAAATAAATAATTTTTACAAAGCCACTGTTCAACAATTTTCCTTCCTTCGAATCAAAGCTTCGAAGTTGCTAACATGATCGACGATCATATCACAAATGAATAATTCTAAAGACGATTCTGTTCCAATATTTTGCTGCCTTCGAACCAAAGCCATGAAGCCGGTAACATACTCGGCGATCACATGAGGAATCTATAATTCTTACGAAGATTCTGTTGAACTATTTTGCTCATTTCGAAGCAACGGTTTGCACTTCTTAACATGATCGACGCCAATGTGACAAATGAATAATTCTTACGACGAAGACAGTGTTCAAATATTTTGCTCACTTCGAACCAAAGCTATGGAGCTGGTAACATGATCGACGATCATATGACAAATCAATAATTCTGAATAAGACTCTGTTCAACTATTTTGCTCATTTCGAAGCAAGGGTTTACACTTCCTAACATGATCGACGATCACATCACAAATAAATAATTCTCACTAAGACTCGGCACAACTACTTTGTTCATTAAACCCAAAGCTTTCTAGTTCCTAACATGAACTACGATCACATCACAAACGAACAATTCTTATCAAGACTCTGTTCAACTATTTTGCTCACTTTGACACAAAGGTTTCGAGTTCGTCACATGAGCCACGATCACATGATAAACTAATAATTCTCATCAGGTCACCATTCAC